ATTCTAGGTATTTTGTTAACGTTACAGATAACTTCTAAATTTTTGATTAACTTGGTTTATTTGTCTCCTCACCTGGATTGCGCTGGGTATTTTCAGGTAAAGTATTTGAACATGTAAAAAAACGCCTGCCAATAAAATTTAATGAGTTTCATAGGCGTCCCTAAAAAAGTTTTCCGATGTAGGTAAAAAATTATAATAATTTGTATATAATGTGCAGAAAATTTCTATTATATATTCATTTTAATTATTTATGTCCTCAAACAATTTTATTATATTGATGGCAAATTTTGTTTTGTTCCGTTTCAAAAGGTCTCCAAAATACCATGTTAATAATATTATTTCTCCCTTTCGCAATTGTAATATCAATGATTAATAGTAGGTGCCTATAATGAATTAAAATTACCTGAATCACACCAAATTCCGCATTGCTGCACTGCACTGCTGGGCAATTTGTCGACCAGCTGTCAACGGCTGAGATTTATTGCCTAGTGGCCCAATGCAACTGTATTTGTATTTCGTTTGCCAGCGCTCGCATTCTTTAACGGGGCGTATACATTTCTACCACCTCCACGTTTAGTTCGACCAGACCTGTATATGGGTATGGCTAAATAAATATGGGAACAAGTTTTTCAAATATTGGTATGCCGAGTTGCTGCGTCAGCGACCGAACCTGGTACATACTGTCATTCTCTTGGTTCTTCAATTGATATCGGAAAGACTATAAGACTTGTTTGTTTATTATTAGGTATATTTATACTATTTAGATTATAACCTCACTTTATTTTGACGTTTAAATTTTACAAATTTTGTTAAATCTTTATAGTATTCAAATGTTTTCTTTTGTTACAGGTCGATGTTTGCCCTTAAGCCCTTAAGTAACTTATTTCAGACATTAACTATGGAAAATTCTAAATAAGTTCTTAAATAGATTTATGCTAAACAAATGAGCATTTCTAGAATTTCACATTATATGAAAACATTTTATGACAAATTGTAGGTTTATGCTAAAATTGTTTTTAAATCTAAAAACTTCTTAAGCTTTTTTTATGCAAAATAATCCTTAGAAACTAATATATAAGATATTTTTTTATATATAAATACTGTCTTTACAACTACTTTTATGCAAATCTTGCAATTATATTCCCAAATTAAAAAAAAAATCAATAAAATTTGTTTTTCTTTATTTTTTTTTAGATTTACTGCACAATAATAATGTAATCTTTACTAAAATTGTATGCTTATTTAGTAATTTGGTCTTTTTCATTTGAAAATTATAGTTATTATATGCTGCGTTGAGAAATTTTGAAAGTTCTTGTAACGAAAATCCCAAAAAATATTATTCATCTACGTTAAAATATTAAATTCAACCTTGTTCTGTGTGTCATGAAATTTAGTTTGTATGTGTTCAATTAATATCGTAAAAAACTTTTCTGCTTTTGACACTTTTTGTTAAACTTTCTATTTGAATTTCTATTTAAAATAAACTTTCTTATTACTTTATTTTGTATCCGCATGTATTATTTTAGCATATTAAATGCATATGCATATAGGTAATTCTTTATTTAAATATTAATACAAACTGCAATTTTGAACTTATTGAACTGCATGCAAATATAAAAACACCATTGGTGTGTTTCTGGGATTGAGAGCAAAGCTTTCGATGATGGCAAATCATGTTTTGCAACTCAATAAATTGTATAAATATGGATTTATAGATAACACATATAACTGGATAGATACGTATGTATAGAGATCAATTTATAGAAATTGCTGGTATAAAAGTTGAAGAAAAGTTTTGGGCGTTACACAAGGATCAGCCCTCGGGCCTTTATTATTTCTTTTGTCTGTGAATGATCTTCCTAATACATTACCGATAATTCATTGATACCGTTGATAACAGTGTGTGCAAATGAATCTCCAAATGAAAATCACTGAGTTTAAAATACGTAGCAAATGAATTTGTTATTAATGCATATTAAGTATTATTCATAATTCGTGTCTAGGATCCTGTGGAATTTTGTTTTGAGGGCATCTAATTCATAGATGAATATTTTAAAGTTTAGAAATGGGCTGTGAGAAATATAGTGGGTGCGTCTCGATTAATGTCGTACAGAAACACTTTAAAAAATTACGGTTCCTCACATGTCAAGCAAAAAGTTAATATTTATGGTACGCGGCATGAAAATTATCGAGCGAGGTGTAGCCGAACTGGAAAATGTAGTTAGAACTACAAACAGTTTTTCCATTATAAATCGTTTATATGTATACATATAAGTATGTTAAAATTATGTAAAGAATGTTGTTCAGTGAAAATCTGGGTATACCTGTATTTTTGTTAACACTAAATTTTGTTGTAGTTTATGTGCATCCTAAAATGTTACGATAAATTGGTAACAGAAAAAAATCTGAATATACAGGGTGATTCAGTAATAATGTTATCATTAGATACATAAAAGTTTTAGAAATTATAAAGCTTTATGTCCTGAACATTTTTAAATATGTACTAGAAATTTTCAGACTACTTAATACAAAAACACAAATTTTTAAGCAATACCGACATCAATTTTTAAAAGAAAGGTTTCCTGAAACAATAAAACCGAGCTCACTGAATAAAGTGGTCCTTAAATTTGGCGATAAATTCAAACGTGCAATAATAAACAGGATGTTGTATTTATAATAAGAAAGTATAGTGGTGTCTTCTGCTAAACTAATATTCCATACAATATTTTTCCTTTAATTTTTTTAATATGAAACGTATAACTTCGTATTCCATGCTTCTGCTATCTGGTGACAAATTCCACTGTACCTTTTCCGCGTAAACGTCTTGGATAGGTAATTTTATTTCAGCAAGTAGCAAAATTACATCGTCTCACGACTCCAGTGGTACGAGAGGCAAACTAATTTTATCACCTCTCTTCCACAGAAAATCCTGCACTGTCAAATGAAACCGTGAAGCTTTATGTTCCAGAAAATATACACCCGTGATTTAATACCGCGGGTTTGAAAACACCGGGGAATATCACAAAAAATATATCAACTCCTCGACAAAGCTGTTTGGCATTTGCTCTATAGAGCATATTATATTTCCTACGGACCTACCATTACTGCTCTTCCATTATGCACAATACACAGGACAAAAAACAAATTATCGTCTTTCATTTCGCTGCATACGTGCATATTATCCCGGAATGAGTTTGAGTCAGCCGCAGGATTTTTATTTGCTCATATCTATAAACCATAAAAGGTAGAAATGCTATGTCATTCAGGAAGACAGGATTACGAGATGCTTTGCTGAATAGTAATATCATAGACATTTACTTTTGTTTAGACGGTAAATGTACTTGTGTATGACTTATTTGCTTCTCATTAGAAACAAATGACATGTACATTTACTTATGTGTTAAAGTTTACGTAGACTACAGTATTAATGCAAATAGCTCTGAAGATGTTTGATGAAACATCACCTGGTGAGGAAATAAAGGTAAAAAAATTATTATCACTGTGGTGAGGACAAAAGTATCAGCATTTTTCGCGGCGCATCCGATGATAACCTTCACCTTGAGGTCAAGGTCAAGGTTCAAGGTCGTATTCGATGACGACAGTTCAAGGTCAAATGTTGATTTTTACTTTAATTTTTTATTTTTAACTACGAAATCAGAGGGAGTAACAGTCTCTGAGTAGGTACCTGATTGCACTCCTTAGTGACCTTGATCTTGAGGTCAAGGTTGAAAGAATATGTTAAGGTCATATCGGTTTTTGGACGCTAGAAGTAATAGAGCGTAGAATTTTACATGTTATTATGATTTTTAACGTGACCTTAAAGTCAATGGTTAAGGTAAGGGAGAGGTCAAGTGATTATTCCGGCTATCATTTTTTATTTATAACAATGGAATAGAAGGGACTGACAATTTTTTAGTGTCCTCAATGCAGAATTTTCTACTCCTTCCATTTCCGAGGTCGTAATGAAAGGTCACCATTAAAAAAAACCGATTTGATCTCGATATTACCTTAAACCTTGACCTTAAGTTTACCATCGGATGTGCCGTGGAAAATACTGAAACTTTTGTTCTCACCATTTATCTCAAAAATGCTTTCCCGCTGAGATTTTTGGGGTTTCCATACTTTTGACTAACCCTGTATATAATAGCAGGAAAAGCCTAATTTATGTTAATGTTATTTACCCGTAACCTAATGCTCAACGGTACACCATGTACAGTTTAAATTTAAGCGGAATCCGATCCTGATTCGAACGCTCACGAGTGGCAACGGGGGCTAGCCTCCTCTGCGCAGGACTTATCAATTTAGCGTGTATAATCTTCTAAAGTTATTTTACAGTGTTTAGTGACTGTACAGTATAATTTTGTGTTACAACTCTCAAGGTTCTGTGTGATATTATGAAAAAGCATGTATACGAATCAAGCAAGTTGATATGACTAGGGCCTATTTTGTCAGGAGAAAACGACGCTGCTGCAAGGAGACGATATCAGATGGATATCTCGATTAAGAAGAACTAAATAAGAAAATGTTTATAAGATTGGTTCAACATTTATAGGAACTTTGAAGGCCGATATGCTTATGTTGGGCGGGAACAAATTCCGATAGTGAAGAAGTTGTTAGAAATCAACAAATTTTAAACGACGTGGAAGAGGATCCTGGTACTAGAATTCAACAATTAGTCACAAGATTTCAAGTATGTCATATGCTATAAAAATCAGGTAAGTAAACAAATTATTTAATTATTTGTGTGTATTTAATTTATCATTATTTATCTATTACTGCTTGAATTTTCTGTTAGATTACTTGTTAGGTACTGTTTCATAGTTTATCTTATTTAAAAAAACTAAATTTTCGTTTATGTATGTGAGATTACAGCTGATGGTGTACAAATTGCATTTTAATAAAATTTTCTTCAATTTATGAGATTTGACAACAGTGCAAGTTTTCTTCTGAAAATGTTCAGGAGTCACCTGAATTATGTTTCTTTGTGTTGATTAACTCACCTCGTGGATGTCGATGCCGTGATTGAGCGACCACGTGGTCTGGAAGTAATCCTGCATCCTCTGCTTGAGTTCCTTCGGAATTTGATGGAGAGTTAGAAAGTCCTTCAGGTCTCTCCACTTGGAGTGGTACAACGATCTCCTCGAATACATCCTCTGGATAATCGCCGTTACGTTACCGAATACCACGGCGTGCATCAGGGCTGAAACAATGAACATCGGATTATTAGCTGACTAGAGTCAAATTGCGGCAGTAATAGAATCTAGATTCCCTAATGTGTCCCTACTTGATTATTTCTACCGCAACCTGTAGTTCATTGGAATTATAGTTCGATATTTCAATAAGAAATTAAGCTTGTTATTATCAGGGTCGAAGGGAAGGACGGAGGGATGGGGGGAGAGACTTTATATATTACTTAGATACATCTGATGCTGAACAAGCACAAATAAATATAATGTTCACATTAACACTTTTATATCTATCAGTTTTAGTGCATTGATGCTAATTTTAAAGTGTAATTTTTATTGTTGGAAAGGTTACTTAATTCAAAACTTCTGTTATGTGTTAAATCAATCAATCATACTGAATCTAGCTTATCTATAAATTCACACAATCGTTCATCAAATGTTCATAAAATACTATTTGAAAATCTGAGAAGATCTTCAATTTGCTGGTAATAATTTTACGTGTAAAAATAATCACAATTTTTATGACAATGTTTTTTTTTCTGTGTAGCTAAAAATCAAAAGAGACTAGCAAATAATACTTCTATTAAATAGGGAGCTTACAGTAGTCAGTTAATTTAAAGCTGAGAGCAGCCTCCTCATTATAGGAAAAATGTCATTTCTCTCGACTCTGAAAAATCCCTAGAGGATTTACTAAGTTAGGCCCTCGACAGAATAAATCCATTTTATTTTAAAAGAAGTAGAGTACGATAATAATTATATTTTTATTCTTATTGTAATTGTATATTGCAGGAACTTTTTAAAACAAACCCCTGCAACTGATCATTTTTTTAACATACTACTCCTAACATACTCAGCAAAATAAGTTTTTGGAATCATCCAATACCATCAGCAGACGTCCAATCATTTACGAAACTGAAACATTTCTTTCCAAGATATACAGGGCGACCGCCAAGGTCTCCGAGATACTTCGTATATGAATTGCATGATAAAATTTAATCAAAAATGGTGCTTAAAAGATCTGGGCTTAAAGTTGCCAGGTCGTATGGGTAGCTGCTAAAGCGTAAATTACATCGTTGTGACTAGAGAGCTTAGAAAAAAAATGGTTTATTTTAATAAAAGAATAATGACAACGAAATAATTAAAGCTGCTCAGTGTGACCACTACCTTATGCAATACATAACTGAATCCTCTGTCGAAGTTCTCGAGTTCAGCTGTAGTTCTCCATCAAACGCTGTATGAATCTTCTCATTCAGCTGATCCCTGCAATTAGGCTTTTCTATTGAATAGGTAAGTGTCCTCACATGTCCTCATATGAGTGACCACTACCTTGTGCAATACATAACTGCATCATCTGTCGAAGTTCTCGAGTTCAGCTGTAGTTCTCCATCAAACGCTATATGAATCTTCTCATTCAGCTGATCCCTGCAATTAGGCTTTTCCATTGAATAGGTAAGTGTCCTCACATGTCTTCATATGAAAAAGTCCAATGGGTTGAGATCCGTAGATCGCGGTGGCCAAGCAATGGGAGCACCACGACTTATCCATCGATTTGGGTATTTTTCCTAGAGGAAATTAGTGACCCCATTCCATAATGGGATGGAGCACTATCATGTAAAAAGAACATCGTCCTTCTGATTTGAGCAGCAATGTCCTGAAGTAGTAGAAGTAGAACGTTTTCTATAAAGCCCGCTGTTCAAATTTCCGGCGAAGAAATGTGGTCCGATAACTTATTAATTATTCCAGTCCAAACGTTTACAGAGAATCTTCTCTGATGGGTTTTTCGAACAGCATGACAGTTTTCGATTGTCCACACATGATTGTTGTGGAAATTGTTGATTATATCTTTTGTAATTCTAGCTTCGTCACAGAGAAGTGTTCTTGAAAGAGTGTGCAAATTATTGCTGCTGCATCATTCACAAAGACGAACTCTTTACGCACCTATTAATCGAGGAGTTGTGGAGGATCTATTGAAAGTTAACTTGTCTGGAAGACGTCGGTTGGGGTATCATCGTTGATATTCCCTAACTGAGACGGTGGTACTACCATTGCAATATCTATACATGAAAATCATGGCGCCTATTCTTCATTTAAATAAATTAAAAAAATAAAAAATAACCAATTGTCAACGACGACAATCAAAGAACTGACAAACAACATTTTTTTTCTAATCCCAACCAAGTTGCTAATTATTAAATTACCTAGCGCTCTAGTCGCAACAACGTAATTTAATCTTTAGCAACGACCCATACGACCCGTCAACTTCAAACCCCGATATTTCAAGAACCATTGGAAATTGGGGAAAAGTGAATAGAATCGTTTTTGCTTAGAATTAGTCATATAATTCATATACGAAGTATCTCGGATACCTCAGCGGCTACCCTGTATAAACAACAGATCATTGCAGCGTTAATGACGATTATCATAATTAATTTTAAACTTGAAAAGGGATTCAATTAAAAAAATTAACTTTTCCAGTCATTTAAGCGGGTTCTTTTATAGCTAGACCTTCGCCACTGGCAACAAAAGGGTCCATTATTTTCTTGGGCATTTATCATAGCATGAGAAACTGATGGAATTACAACCAAATTGCACTTAAATGTTAAAAGCTTCGTAAAACAACAGCAGCATATTTCAACGTGACTTTTTTATTCGCCGTTCTTTCTTACTTTCACATAATTTCTCTCTGGCTTTATTGATGTCGACATATTTATGTCTCGTATATATTTTGCAGCTGATATGGCAAGTCGAAACAATTGTTTCAAAAGTATTTAACATCTGATATTATCTGACATTTAAAAGTATTTAAGTCGGAAAGAAATACTTATGTACAATTTTTAATAACCTGCACGTGTCATAAACTTGGCTAAGGATTTTAATATACTCAGGAAGATGTATATTTTTTCAAAAATTATAGACGTAAAATGTTTTATATTGAAGCAAAAATAACTCTGAAATTCATTCAATGCTTATTATGATTACGCCTCACTCTTAGTAGACGAAACTAAGTTCTAAGTGAGACGTTCCTGTGGCAGCGATTGGATTATTAATATTAAAGGGAAATCGTGACTTAATCTTGGCGTAATAAAACTTTCTCAAAATTGAATATCCAGATTTATGCCCCAGTTGAAACTGAGGTTAGTAGATGTGATGTTTGGATCAAATGGATGAAACTTTAGCTATTCGAACTTTCTGCTAGGTTACGTCTAGAGACTCCTACTTTGGAAGTAAGTCGCATTAAGTGGGATGTAATTTTATTTGCTGTAATTGTATTGCAGAGAACTTCGCCACATAGGAACAGTTTGTACAACAGGTGACATAGTAAACTTATAACATTGTTTATGAATGATATTGGAAATTTTTTTGTTTAGTTGGAACCTCAATTTAATTCCAAAACAATTTTAAACACATTTTAATTAGCTTTTTTTTCTATCACTTTAAACTTCCGATACAAATTTGTGACATCAGTTCATTAACACGCTTTATAGAAGGGAAATAAATAAAAGTAATTTCTTACCTCCTATAAGCATGACGCATATACTGAAGATCTTTTCATTGGTGGTGTTGGCACTGACGTTTCCGAAACCAACGCTTGTCAAACTGGAACAAGTGAAGTACAGCGCTGTGACGTAGGCGTCCAAGTTGGTAACATTGGAAACGTGCTGGAGATGTAGTCTGTCCGCTAACGTGTGGATCCACCCTAAAAAATATCACAATGTTATCTAAGGCTACTCACAGCAAGTGTATAAACATTCAGAGCATAAAGATGCTGCAAGTTAGCCTTATAAATCAGTATCTAATTATTAAAATATCCTTGGAAATAAGTACAAATACTTTTCTGAAGAATTGTCCATGGCCCTAGCGCGTATTATTTGTGGACGGAGCTATATCAGATGCAAACTTATTCGTGTCGGTCTACGCAAACATTTTCGTAGTTCCTTGTTGCAACTAGAGAAGTATATGATTTAATCGTCGTAGAACAGGTTTTTATCTACAATTCAACTCTGACTTTGCCGATGTCATGGCACATTATACTCGTATACCTTTATAAACATCGAAAAGAATATTTTTTTATAGAAAAAATGTGAACCACTGGTTTTTGCTTTTCAAATTTAAGTATACGTAGTGATAAAATCAAAGCAATTTATATTAATTGGTATGTACTCCTGATACTGATTTTAGCGCAATTTTATCTGATATTTAGCTCAGTGCAGATAATAATAGAGAATTATCCAACGCTCGCGAAAAGCCTTAATACCGATCCTATGAAAGTTTGCCTGAATTTCTGAAATAAAGGCTCGTTTAAATTCTATAGTGGCTCTCTGAGAACGTATTTAGTGTTTTAATTAGACTTCTTGGCAAGTCAAGCAGAAACTCTCTCTGTTTTCACAAATTAGGGTCGCTATACGTGCAAACTCACTACGTGCATTCTAATGAATATATATGCATCCAGATAACAATAAAATAAAATCATCAAACACTAATTTTCTAGTAATCTAAATCGATATTAAGTTGTAATACATCGTTAAATGATGTTTTATTCTGACTTAATATAATAAAAGGTGTAATAGTTTATTATTTTTAAAGCTCCACTTCTAATTAGATCTTGGAATTATTTTGGACATCATTGCGAGGCAAGCGAAACGCCCATAGTCTGCATTGTGTTTGATGAAAGTTAAGTAAACCTAATGAAACAGCAGAACTTTCTGCTTTATGTTTTCAGTTAAACAAGATACAATTTTATTATCAAGTATTTAGTGTCTCGTGGAACCGGGAGCTCCGTTAACTTTTCAACTCTACTGGGATCCCCCCGGAATCCAAACAAGGAATTATCGTCATAACTTTCTAATGGGGATAAACGTATTAAAAAATCAAAAAGTAGGTATATGGACTGGCTACGAGAATATATGTAGGTTCATATTTTTTAATGAAAGTCAGTGTTAATGACAAATGGAAAAAATACATACCTATACATGATTTAAAAATAAAGAAATTTAAGCAAATGCTAGTCACTGAAAAAGGTCTTCAGTGTATAAATATAAATGAATTATACAATATAAAAAAATAAAATATTATTGTTTTATTTTAAAGAATTTCATTTATATTATTCTATTTTTCATTTACTAAATTGTAATTTTGATTATAAAAATAAATTTTCAATAATCATAATTAATAAGTCAATAACAGGTGATCAATAACAAGTGATCTAAAAGTGGAAAGTACATAGTAAAAACTCAGTGTTTTTGGAAAGTCGATGATACTTACAATTAGTCAGGAGCAGATTTATGAAAATCAGTTTTTATAATAGCATGTTTTTTTTGCAATCGTTATTCTCAGAGCAAATTTCTAATTGAAATGGTTTTATGTTTATAATATAAAATGTAGTCAAGCTGCGCAATGTTATTATACTTCATTTGTTACATTACACTAGCGCCATCTAGATACTATTTGATGAAATATTTGTGTGAAACTGTTAGGCAAAATATATGTATAATCTGTTAAAAATTTACAAACTTTCTAATTGGTTTCATTTTTCTAAGTTGCAAATACGGATGGTTTACAGATAATGTCAAAATATGGATATTAATAAAAGATATTAGTAAAAAAAAGTCCATTAGCCTGACGCGAGAATATGATCGGTAAAATCAAGTACCCAGGGGCTGTTTGTAATTTATTACGTGCCCTGATACAGGAACTTTTATTATAGTTTCACTACAGTTCCAAATGTGTTTACATTTGTTTTATGTTTGGAGTTTATTGTTGATCCTCCGCATAAAAGGTAAAAACCGAATATAAAGTTTAGTGCCTGGACAAATAGTAATTATTATCATTTAGCTACGTAGAGAGATGTGCAATATATTTTATAGAGGTATATACTATTTTGTAGGGTTTTATAGTAGCGTTATTTTGTGACATAATAATTCCTGAATCAAAATAAATATGCACTTTTTAATTTTAAAATCCTGTTGTAAGTGAAAAATATTTAGCTCAACTGCGTTTTTTTTAATCAGATTTAAGTTTTTTAGGCATAGGTGGCTGAAAAATAGACTACCAAGATTTAATGACTGACAGCAATTTGTTGTAAGTCATATAGTTGTACATAGTACACAAATAACTTGTTTTCAAAAAATATTTAGGGATGTGATCAGTAATTTTTAAAATTTTATGTATATACATAAAATTTTAAATTCATTTGGTCTTTTAGAGGTATTAAGAAAAATTCTTAAAAGTGTTTGTTTTCCACACCCTATATTTCGCAAACGAAGCGTTTTAAGACCTATATTTATATGAACTTATTTTATTAAAAAATGTTCTCTATCAACTGTTATTATTCATTCAATCGTTTTTGTTGATTCACTGCAATATTGGGTTCAGTAACTGTTACCTAATCCTATAAATCAAGATGAACATTGAATTATTATATATAATATTAAATTAATTATTATTTTTTTAAATAACTAAGTAACAGTAACAGGTCCAGCTGCATTCCAAACTATGTACAGAAGCTTCTAATTAAAGAAGCATATTCTTTTATAAATGGGTTCAAATCATATTATAACATACGTGCTTTAACATATTGTCATCTTCCATCATATTCCTTTGACGTTTCGGACATTCGAGCCCCACGTTGTGCGCCATGTCGTGTGAACTGGACGATTCTCCTCCATAGAAGGCGAGTTAGATTCTTGAAAATGTACGAATTAGGAGACTTTCAACTGAGCCCAGTTGCACTAAATATATTTTGGGTATTTCTTTTGGTTACTCTTGTATCTTATGACTGTTTTTATGGCTCTGCCTGGACTAGCACTAGTTTTGACATTTCTTGTACTTGAAAAATGACAATTACTTCCTTATCTTCAGTGACAAGTTTTAGATGTCGCATATTAGGAGATATATGTACTTACTAACACTTTTTGAAAAAGTGTGAATTTTTTTGAAGAAACTTTAGTTTATATATAGTCCAGTCGACAGAGGCCAAAAGTTACTGTTGGTGCCATTTCCTTGATAACTCAGAAATATCTACACAGGAATACTTTAAATGATGAGTACAATAACAGGCTAATTTGCTGACAAAGTATTTTATCAGGAAAAAAGTTATTAACAATATAATCGTGAAAAATTTTTTTTTAAATAACTCAGCGGGATGACTGTACGAAAAAATGCTTAGGACATGATTTTGTTCGTAATAAAAATAGCTAGCAAAATAGCGGTGGTCCGATTACGAAATTTGCAATATAGAAATTTAATGCCGAGTTTAGTTAACTTCAAACCTTCATAAGTCGTTTTTTTTTTTAAATGGATATATGTTTTTCTATATTCTGATACACAATTTTATTCTTTTTCGAACGGTATCAGGGTTACCTATACCTATCTCTTCTAGTTTTTAAGTTATCTATTATTAGTTAACTAAACTCGGTATTAAATTTCTAGCACCCTGTATGCAATTAAGCCACTTTGAAAGTATGGATGGGAAGCTTAGGGGTCTAGCTATTCCCCCTATCAATATTGTTGCTTCATCTTTCTTACTATAAAATGCACATGGTTTGAAGCTAGTCACTGTTTCTCACCATTTTTGTGAAAAAAATTAAATATCTCGAAAACGGTTAGTTTTAGGAATAGGGAAACTTCATAAAATCCCACATAAAATAACACGTAGAATCCAACATTGCAATAATATATAGGGTGTTCCATTTAAAATAAGCAAGTTGATGACGACTTCCGGTATAACCGGAAGTGGTACGTAGACGTCATTATTTTAGTTGAGAAGGGCATGCCCGTATACCCGGTATCCCAAATTTTCAAAATTCAAATCAAAGTAATCTCTGAAATAATTATAATGGGCCGTTACCATGAAACACCCTGTAGGTACTACAATCTGAATAGAACATAATGTTAATATCTCATATTCAATTATAAACCATTGTGAAAACGCTAATAATATTAAAAACACTAAATTGTAATAACCTAACATTCGAAAACAATAATTCTTATCCTTATACCTACAGTTGTTTTCATTAACAAGTAAATAACACTTGTTAATATTTAAAATGTAAAAAATATCATATTTATTCATGTGTCTAGGCAAAAAGATCTTTTTATTCCTTGTCGTTCACTATGTATTAAAAACGCAGTAAAAACTAGGTTAGTGACCGACTAATACGGTACGGTCAAGATTTACTCTCGATAAATCTTTGTAGTTCAACGGTCAGGACCGGTCCGAATAGGGATTTAATTAATGATTTAAAAATATTTCTTTCCAGCGTAGATATGCATTTTAAAAGTTTTTTAATCGCGTATTCGTATTCTACTCATTTTCCCCTATCTTCCCTTAAAATTAATGACGGAATCACCCTGAATATATGAATAAAAGTGTGAATTTACATGGCCTGATTTGTCTCAACCAAATATGATCATCAGGTGTGGTGTTACCATGTATGTGTGTAGAGAACTTTGCTAGCGGTTTAGCAGATCACATGTTTAGATTCATTTGTGGCACAGTAATGCAGCATACTTTTTTAACTAAGAGAAACTGTAAAAATGTTTGTTGGTTTTAGAAATTGTTTATCAATAAGATTGGAAACATTTTCTTTAGTACATTTTCGTTTAGCTATTCAAATAGGGAATCAGGTTGCTATTGTGGCGTTTCGTCTTTCAGTAGCCATCCTCAGCTTAATTTTGAAATACAAAACTATTATTCAA